AAAAACACTACTTTGTTTTCTATCCTTGTCAAATGTGTTCAATGTAAGTGTGCAAATGCCAATTAATAGTCTTTATCACGTGCCAGTAGGGGTCCATGTATGACTCGGAACAGGCGTATAAACTCTGCGATGGGTTTAGAATTTAAAGAAATTAGGTTTTATGCTATAAAAACATGTGGCGTTAACTTTATAGAATGCATAATAAAATAGCCTGTAAGGATTTGCACTGCTGATCTTAATAACTGCATATCACTTGAGAAGAACTAAATACAGTAGAATAAAGGCAATAATAATGATGATGGATACTAACAAGGCACAAGTTATACTTCTAAGAGTACACGGAAATGTGATGTCCTAGACTTTGCACAAACCTGGCTTACGATGGTGGCTTTCTAAAATACTAACCCAGCACTACTCACAAATGTGATCAGCAAACTAGTGCTGGTCCTCAAAGTCTGTCTTTCATGTTTTGATGTGAAAAGTATAGAAATTGAGAATAAGCACTTAGAACCTTTTATATCAATTTGGTAGAGTAATTCTAAGTCTATTGACTCTCATAATAAATTGGGGCCTTGCACTTTATGTCTTTGTCTTTTTAAATTTCATTTTTTGCGTAATTCATTTTTATCGTATTTTACAGAAATATTTGTCCATGAAAAATTGGGGGAAACCTGGGACCTCAATGCAGATACTTTGAGGAATACTATTCTAAAATGTTGTAGGGGCACCTGGGTGGCTCAGTCAGTTGGACATCTGACTTCAGCTCATGATCTTGTGGTTTGTGAGTTTGAGAATGAGCCTGACATCTGGCTCACTGCTGTCAGCGTGGAGCCGGCTTCAGATTCTCTGTCCCCCTTTCTCTGTCCCTCCCCAGCTAGCACTCTCTCTCTCTCAAAAATAAAAATAAGCATTAAAAAATTAAAATGTTATAAAATAATTGATGGGATAAATAGAAACCACTTCTCAAAGCCTTATGTTTCTCATCTGGAAAATTGATTTAATAATAGCACTTACCTGTTAAAGCTAGATCTGAGAATTAGGGGAAGAGAGATATATGTAAAGCTTAGCATGGTGCCTTGGTAAATCATCCCGCCCCCACTCAAGTATTCTTGAATAACACAGATTTGCAAAGATGCCATTCTGAAATATGTGTGCTCAGGACTTCAGTTCTGTTTGTAACAGGTCTTCGGTGAATTCCCCCATCAACACATAAACTCCTTCTGGAATCAGGGCACTTGGTTTGATAAACTAGGAGTTCATACATGACTGCCTTGGATGAAGCTACCAAACATTTGGATTTTTGGTCTTCTCTGACTATTTAGTGTAACTGTCTCACCATCATGGTATGGAATGTCCTTCTATATTTTTTCCTTTTGTTTTCCTCAAATCATTAGGTTGAGTAATTGTTGCAAGCCTAGACAACTGAATTATTTTGATCTTTATTGCTTACTAAGTGCTTACATTATGTTGAGACCAGGATAAAATGACTCGTCACTCATGGATGGCAAGTATGGAAACATAAACTTCGCTTCCAAAAGATGCATCACTTTAGGTGGTACTTCATAGAGCAAAGAGAACAACATGCAATCTCTTCTATTCAAAGATGCCAAACAACTTTTTAAAGGTGTGTTTTGGTGAGATGACAAAATGGAAGGTCATTGCTTCTTCAGCAGGCACTGCTGGTGGCCAAAGAAAGTAGCCGGCTAGTTCAGAGCATAAATGCTAATTAAGGATAATTCAACCAAATAGTTTTTTCTTTTTGGATTATAGTACAGAGTGATGGGGAACATGGGGCTTCGCAGTCAGACTAGCTTGGATCCAAACCACGGTTTTATGACTTAACTGGATCCGTTAGACAACTTCTTTACTCCCCTTGAGCCTCAGTTTCCTGAACTATAATAGGATAATGGCTAATGGGATAAGGTTTGAGCATAATAGGTGTTTAAATAATATTAAGTCCCTTTATTCTGTTAGTGAACTTCAATTATTTTTCTTTAAAATAATCAATGAGATGACTTTAGCAAGTTTCCATGAATAGAAGCAGACTTTGAAATATAATAAAAATAATATGTCAGTATGTATTTTTAAAAACATGCATTAGATTTGGCAGAGTCAGTGAAAAATGGACTGTTTATAAATGCAACTAACTCTTTCCAAGGTCAAGCATCTTCTACTCCTTTTCACTATGCCTAGAACTCTTTGTTCCAGCCAGAATAACTTTCCCATGCGCGTGACTTGGCTCATTCTTATTTTTAGTTCTTTGTGTTTAGTACTCTTCTTGAAATGACCTTCTGATGCCTCCCTGCCAAACCCCACACTCCTTTACAATTGTCCGTCATTCAGGGCATCCAGGAATTGGCAGAAAGAGATCTGGTCAAGCCAATCTCCCCAGCCCATCTTTCAGGGCTATCGGTTCTTTGAGGTGGCTGTACTACTCCCCACTTTGACACATTCTCTTGCTATGATTTTGTACACATTTTTCATATTTGTAGATTCTTTCTCCCTACAGAACTATAATGTTCTTTTCTTGGGGGTTACACTGTGACATTTAGGATCAGAAAGACTGTCACTTGCTCAAGGCCACACAATTTATGACTGATTTGAAACAGGTAGCTGCTTCTTTGAGTTTTTAGTTTGGTATTTTTTTCATTTCACAATCTACTTCGCTTAGTGGGGAAATGGTATTAGTGACTGAGATACAGTAGGGGAACTTCAGAGATGGAAAGGCAGCTCTAGAAGGAATAGAGCAGATGAGGGGCATGGAGTGCAATGTGAGAAATGGGGAAGAATGGATGGAAGGGTAAGGCGGAGAGAAAAGAGCCTCAAAGGAGTAATTATCTTACTCTGAGCATTTCACATTAATAAATAAATAAATAAATAAATAAACAAACATTAAACACCACCACTACTGAATTTCTGCTTTGCTTCTATTTTGTACATAATAAACAACCCTACTGTCACCGCCAATGAAAACAACAGCATAACTGTGCTTTTCCCCTGGCGCTAACTCTAAACAATCTACTGGATTTGGGTCAAAATTGTAAACTGCCAGCATGTTAGAAGTAAAAAACAGAAAAACCTGTTTTCTTCCCCGAACGGTTGTGAGGGTGAATGCAGGACAAGAGCCAGAGAGAAGAGTCACCATAAAAAAGAACTAGTGCAAACATCCTTGAACTGATGTTTTCTATAAAAATCTGTTGGCTGTGAATTGGAAAGACTGAAGTGGGGAAGGAGAGAGGAATGGGGGGTCAAGTGGTGTCTGCTTATCATCAACTAGCTTATGTAAAAGTCGTGGCAGGGTCAGCAACAAACTAGCCAGGTGGGAACTCCAGGCCATGCTGCCATAAATAAATAGTTATGTACTAATGTCACACAACCAGGGCTAGATGCAAAGCATATGGGGGGAAAAAACCATTCTGATATAAATATTAAAAAAACAAAAAAACAAAAAAGCAAAAAAACTATGGTTGCTGAATTCAGGATTCACTGTTGATACTGGATTTTGAGACACCTGGGAATATAAAGTGGTGCAGCTTTTCAAAAACCTGCTCTAAAAGGTTCTTTGAAAAGTGGATTGCTCCCTTCCAAAAAAAAAAAAAAAACATCCTTAACCTTTGGCCTAAGAGAGTTGTTACTTTCTGGTGTAGTAATTAAGCATTAAGAGTTCTGTTTGTAACAGGTCTTCTGTGAATTCTGGCAAGACCACAGACCCTGGAACCAAATTTCAAAAGTTTGAACTCTTACTGTTGCTTACTTGTTCTCTTGACCTCTGGGAAAGTTACTGAAATTTTCCACGCCTCAGTTTATTCACCCTGCACAAAAGGGAGAGGAGGATTATAATGGCGATAGTACCTGTTTGGTAGGAAATGATGAAGATTAAGAGAGTTAATGCGCAGAAAACAGACAATACCTGGTCAACACTCATGTCCATGTGACACATCATTATCAAGTAATCTTAAAAGGCTTTTTATCTTACACAGACTGTCTGCCCCTACGCTAAGGAATCTGTTCCTTGTACTAACTCATTTAAATGCTAACAAAAACTCCATGAATTAAAAATCAATTTTACAGACAGAGGAACTAAGGCTTAGATGGATTCAGAAATGTATCCAAGAAAGCATATCTAAGCTAAATTTCCAATCTAGGCCTTACTCCAGATTAAAAAAAAAAAATTAGTACATTCTTTAAAATGGAAACACTTTTTCTTTCATTCGCTTAAAATGTTACAATTTGAAAAGAAACACATGGCCTCCTAAAAACCAAAGAGATTTTTAAAAAGGAATGAAAGGAGGGGCTGATGTCCTAATAAACTGCCTCAGGAGGCCTGAGATCCTATCACAGCACCTAAAGAACAGTAATCCATTCAATGACTCATTTCTGGAGAGCCTACTATTTTCTGAGAGCTCAGAATACAAAAACGGATTAAGAACTGATTTCAGTCCCTAAGTACCTAACTCTAGGGAGTGAGAGGGATACTCTTTACTATGGGCTGTTTGACGATGTCGGATTTGTTTTCTACTGTTTTCCAACATGAACCAAAAGTCCCTTCCACGGGAGCAGCAGCAGTTGCCGGACTTCCCTCAACACGAGCCAGGCTGTAGGTCACAGCCATCCGAGCGGGTTTAACTGCCAGGCTCAGGGTCGCAGAGCGCGGAGAGACTTTAGCGGACTGAAGACGGCTTTCTTTGTAGGCGTCTTGGATTGGAGCTGCGCTAAACGGGCGCGTTTGGCAGCGTATTCAAATCGCGCGCCCTAGCAGTCGCTTTCCGGAGCTCAAGCATAAAGATCGTGGATATGGTACCCGTGTGTTCTGCCGCCTGGTCTGTGCGCTAAGGCTCGCTGACTTCTGGCACCTGGGAGAGCGGGCGCTGCGCGAAAGCCCAGGTTGCTCCCAGGTGGGCGCAGCCAGGACGCCAGCCGGCGGCGACCTAAGCGCCGCCTCTGCTGGCGGCACTACTTCCTGGTTGTTTTGCCCTTAAGTAACATGGCGGCCGGTTGTCTTCGGCGGGGCCCATTGCGGCTGCTCAGAAAGCCAAGGTAGGGCACTCGGGTCTACAGCCCGCCCCCCGACGCCGCGCTGCAGTGTGAAGCCTGGTCTGGGCAGCTAGTGGTAAAAGGGATATAGGAGCAAGCCCAAAACGACTAGGACCCGGCGCCGTGCCACGGTGTGCCCACCCCTCGTCTCCCGGCACCAAGGCTGCTGGAGCCCAGGGTGTTTTTTCCTTGTCCCCGCCACTTCCCAGTCCCTGGCCCAACATGATACTGACCAAAGCCCAGTACGACGAGATAGCCCAGTGTCTAGTGTCTGTGCCGCCTACCAGGCAGAGCCTGAGGAAGCTGAAGCAGAGGTTCCCCAGGTAAGTGTCCGTCTCCACTCGCACAGCCCTTTAGCCCTTTGCCTGCAGCGGCTGTGTCTGGGCGTCCCAGCCAGCGCTCAGGAGCCACGTGTCACACATGAGCGGGGAGGAACAAGAGTGTCTGGTGTTAGGAGGTCAGGGATGTGAAGAGGTTTCTTCTTTCACAGTCTTCCAGAAGAGACTCTTAAATGGATGAATCCCTGGTAGCCTTCCAAGGCCATGAAATTAAATTTAAGTCCATTCATGTTTATGGAAAACTTGCTGTGTTCTAGGTGATGGGTGCACATAGTAGGTGCCTCATAAGTGTCTAGTGGTTAATTGACAGATGCTAGGAATGAATGATGGTGGCAGGGCCCTCTCAAAGTGGAACTACAAATTGTAGATTCAGAAGGAGGAAATGGAGGAGCCTTTTCACTTGGTCCCTGGAAACAAACAAGGGACCCCAGGCCTGAAGGGGCCTCCTCCTGTTCACCTTTGACCCTAAAGCAGTTAATCGATCTCAGTCATTCTCAGTCCAGTCAGAGACTGACGCTCTAGGGATTCCACTCTTGGGGCAACACTGGACGTTTCAACAGCCATGTATATACACATTCCAGGTGTATTTCATACTTCCCACCTCCCCAGAACTCGTCTGTTGTTGGTGATTTGAAGATTATCCAACTTTCTAAGAAGGGACGTTAGGAACTATATATTATAGACTTAGCTCATTTTAAAGATGTGTGCACCGAGGCCCAGACATTACACAAAGAACCAGTCTAGGAAAATGAAGTTATTATATTTTGGCCGAGTTAGAGTATAGCATGTTTGTTTACTTTTCTTCTGATTGGAAACCAAGTCCAAATTTGTACCATTTTTGTGTGTGTGTGTGTGTGTGGCACTGAGCATGATTAACCCCTAATGGAGAGCCTCTCTGGGCTTGAGCTGTAGCTCAGAAACAGATACCATCAGAGAAATATTTTCTTGAAGAACGAGAGATTGTTGGATCATTGGTATTAATAAAGTACAGATTGAAGAGTAAATTAAAGGTCTTTTATGACCTCAGGTTTTTTTTTGAAAGACTCAGTTTTCCTAATCTGTAAAATGAAGGAATTTACTTTTTTTTTTTTTTTAATGTTTTATTTATTTCTAGGAGAGAGAGAGAGACAGCATGAGCAGGGGAGGGTCAGAGAGAGAGGGAGTCACAGACTTTGAAACAGGCTCCAGGCTCTGAGCTGGCAGTCAGCACAGAGCCCGACGCGGGGCTTGAACCCACGAACCGCGAGATCATGACCTAAGCGAAAGTCGGACGCTTAACCGACTAAGCCACCCAGGCGCCCCTGAAGGAATTTACTTTTAATATTATTCAGGTATAATTAAAGGAAATATTTCTCCTTTCATAGTTTTAAGATTTTTTTTATCAGACTTGCTAACAAGGAACAAAACTGACCAATTTGAATTTAATTATCTTTCATTAACTCTGTCAGCTCTGCCAATGAACAGTGGAATGGGTGAAGGCTAGTTAGCTAGGGAAATAGGTAGATTTTTCTGGGCAGTTTTAAGGGAAAGCATGCATTTTGATTTTCTGTTCTCCTTATGTTCTTATATTACTACTGTATTTTTGCTTTTCTTTCTTCTCCTCTTTTTCCTCACCTCTTTCTCTCTTTTTTTCCAGTCTTCTCCATAAGAGGTAGCCTCCCCTTAGGCTTACGAAGGAATTATGAAGTACCTGATGACAGGTGCCCTCAGTTTAGGGCACCATGCCTATTCTCTGATGCTCTTTTTTTTTTTTTTTTTATTCTTATTCATGATGTGGCCAAATAATTGTCATTTTTCCCAAATACCATTCGGGGAATAAATAACTCTTCTTCCACTGGAAACTTTATTTAGAGAGTCTGTTGCTACTACTCTGCAAAGGAATTAAAGGGTCATTCAGCAGCATGGGTGGGATTCTATACACAGCGTGACTTTGGAGTTGGCTTCATAATTTTCATTATGGCACTGTTTTACAGTCATTGGTGGGGCACCTGGGTGGCTTAGTTGGTTAAGCGTTGGACTCTTGATTTCAGCTCAGGTCATGATCTCACAGTTTAGTGGGACTGACCCCCCCCCAGCCCCCCCCCCGCCCTTGTGGGCTCTGGACTGACAGCACCAAGCCAGCTTGAGATTGTCCCTCTCTCTCTGACCCTCTCCTGCTTGCACTCTCTCTGTCTCTCAAAATCAATCAATTAAAAACACACACACACACACAAAGCAAAACAAAAATCAACCATCGTGTCAAAAAAAGTAGTGAGAAAATGGCATTGTTTTACACTTTTGCACGTCTCTTTAGTGGTTGCCTAAGTAGAAGGAAGACATCTGCTTCTGCATTCAACCTGTTGTAATACATTATTTTGATTAAGGAATATGAAGAAACCCTGGCCCCAGATAAATGTAATTGGAAAAGATAAGAGTAATGTAATAGAATTTTTAGATAATTTTAGATATTTTTGTTACTACATACAACCTAACAAGTAATATTTTCTTAAAGATTAATTGCAGTGTAGAAGGTGAAACCATATCATGGAGCTTTTCACTCTCAATGGATATCCAGTATCAATAGATATTGCAGTCCATTGGCCTGTCTTGAACTTTGAGTGGATCTTTCACCCATGCATTACTTTTGTCATCCGTGTGTGTTTTGTTTGCAAAATGTTGGCTGTGAGTCATGCAAATCTTCCATATGTTGTCACCTTTCATTATACAATATCAAAAAATCATATTTGTTAATATCCCCACTGTGAGAAAATATTTTCTAGATACCCACATCTGAATCACTATACTTTGTTCATTGCTCATTCAAGTATAAATGGTGTCCCATGGAAAAAGCAGCTAGTTCAGCTCTCAATCATGTAAGTGTTCTCCCTTGAGTCACGCATCATATTTCAGTATGCAGTAGATGTACTTTGTATTTTTTTTTAAAGTATATTTATTTATTTTGAGAGAGAGAGAGAACCAGTGGTGTAGGGGTGAGTAGTGGGAGGGGGAGCACAGAGGATCCGAAGGAGGCTCAGTGCTGACAGTAGAGACTGACACAGGGCTTGAACTCAAGGAACCATGAGATCATGACCTGAGCCAAAGTCAGATGTTTAACCAACTTGTTATTTTATCATACAGAATGTTAAAAGGATATGTATTCAAAGATTGAGATTTAATAAAATTAATAATAAGTGAATCTGAAGATATTCTCAGGTGAAGCTGGCCTTTTTATTTTTATTTTTTTGCCCTGCAAGTGTGTGGCAGGGAAATTTCTAATGACCCCTAGAATAGTTTGCCTGGCCTTGAGTTGTGCATACCTACCATTGGTTTTGCACAATCCATGCAAATTTCACACAGAGGAAAAGGCAAATCATGTCTTATTATTTCCATAAAACAATAGTTTTGACTTTATAGACCCCTGAGAGGGTCTCAGGGCCTTGAGGAGTCCATTGACCACACTTTGACAACCATGAGCTATTTCAAATCAAAGAATATGTATGTTTTGAAGGATTTTGGTGTGTTACTATCAAAATGATTCTACTAATCCTATTACTGGCAGCTCATGGGACTATCTGGCTCCGCAACTTTGGCCAGCAGTGAAGAGAGGCATTATTTAATCTTTAATGTGAAAGATCAAGAGTGACATTTTGTAATTTGCATTTTTTAATATAATGGACTATCTATTTCCCCAATTGTTTACCTACCATTTAATTTTCTTCTTGAATTACCTGCCTGATGTCCTCTGTCCTCTGCCTAGTTTTATATTGGAGGGTTTGCTAATACTGTTTATTGATTTGTCATTGTTTAGTGATCTGCATATATTAAGGATGTTGATCCTTTATATGTAATATTTGTTGCAGATATTTTCCACTTGTTTTCTTTTAAATATTCTGTTTTTTATATGCTTAACTTTAAATTTATGCTTTTTTTTTTTTTTTTTTTTTATTCAGAGGAAGTCCTGCACTGTCCTAAGATATGGAAACTAATTCTTCACCTAAATTTTCTTCTAGATTCTTTATGGCTTTCTTTCTTAATCTTTTTTTTTTTTTTAAGTTTATTTATTTATTTTGAGAGAGAGAGAGAGAGAGTGCAAACGAGTTGGGAGAGGGACAGAGAAAGAGACAAAGAGAGAGAGAGAATCCCAAGCAAGCTCTGCAGAGCCCCATGTGGGGCTTGAACTCACAAACCACGAGGTCATGACAGCCGAAGTCAGATGCTTTACTGACTGAGCCACCCAGGCACCCCTGTTATTCTTAATTACTTAATCTGTCTAGCTGATATTTATTTTATTATATGCCCAACGATAAACATGTAGTTTAATTTCTTCTCCCACCCCCCCCCCCCCCCCCCCCCACTGTGGCTTCTGTTTGCTAGCCTCACTTATCCATGACTTATCTGTTTTCCCTGAAATTACAGATTTATGCCTTTACAAGTCACTGTGTTGAGCCTGGGCAGACCCCTTAACTACTTTGTTCTTACAGTCCTCCAATTTAAAATGAAGGGATAGGACTTTGTGATGTCTAAAATTGTACAACTCCAAAATTCACTTTCCTGATGTATCACAGCATACTTTTTTGTTGAGATTAGCATCCATCAATGGTTCTTGCTTGAAACAGTTATTACTAGTATTTGCCTAGTGGTGATTTTCTCTTTCTCTTATTGGAATACTCTTTTAACTAATATCCTCTACTACCACCATTTCATGTGAAACAGTCCATCCCACAGTCAGCTCATGATTTTCACTGTTACCTGTAGTTCATTCGCCTCTTACGGCGTTTAGTCTGTAATAATTCACTGTGTGCTCACTATGTCTGTGGCACTATGTGAATGTTTTGTAGAAAACAGGACAGTGTAGTAATTATGTTTGAATAACTTGTAGTCTGAGGAAAGAGTTTAAGACACATCCAATAGCTATAAATTATTCACAGAATGTTAGAAACCAAAGGATTTGTGGAACATCATTTAGTGCACGTATGTTTAATCAAGTGGGTTTCTTAGAGGAGATA